TTGTAAATGTTATAAGACAATGTGGGTTCTCTAGTCATCAGGGAGGGAGAGGGTCCTATATATGTCTATTAAGTGTAGCTTTTTTAGTGTATTCAAATTTTCTATATTACTAATAATTTTTCAAATGCTGACCTACCAACAACTGAGCAAGGAGTATTGAAATCCTACCTTATGAGGACATAGCTGACAATTTCTCCCTCTAGTACTTTATATATTTTGATTCTGTTTTATTATATGCATGCTAGTTTAAATTCTTATTCCTTTCTGGTGAATTGAATTGTTTTCATTATCTGTTTGTTCATTTATTCTCAACCATTCAAAGCCCTGCGATTTAGGTGTGTCTCTTGTAAACAATATCTAGCAATATTTTGTTTTTAATCAGTGAGTTTATTTATCTACATTTACTGATTATAAACAATGGAGGGTGGTTAGGTCATGTATAAAATAATCCTTACAGGAATGCTTAGCTTTAACAGGGTATCCAACCAACAGTAACACTCAAGATTCTGCTGCCCAGCGTGGACAGAGCAGAAGGCAAGCACCATTTACAGAAAGGGGCCCGACAGTCACAGGTCCCATCTGGGGCTGTTCCATGTCACCCCAGCACCCACAGAGCAGATTCTGTAGAGATCTAGAGATAGTGCGGATCTGTAGAGAGCTGTGTTCTATCTCTGCCCGGCAGATCCACAGACAGCCTCTTGAAATCCTAGGCATGGAGAGAAGGGGTACAGAGCCATCCTTAATAAAGTGTCCCGCTGTCTGTTAGCGCCAAGTGCTCATTAAGACGGCAGCATTCAGGGGAAGTACACGGCTCCGTTCTCTTCCTGCAGTGGCTCATGCATATTTGATGTGTAGGGATTTCTCATATTCTATAAAATCACTTTCAAGGTTTTTTTAAACTGTGACTGAAGAATAATCTATGTGTTCTCTTAATGCTTTCTGTCAAACTAGTTTTTCTGATTATTTCTACATATGACATTTTTTTTTTACTCCTACTGTGCCATTCGCCTTCCTGTGTCATTTATTGTTCAAATACAGCCAGAGAAAATAAAAATACATAAAATAGCTTCTTAACCAGAGGTGGAACTAAAAAATTACTTGATGCTTTCAGTTAAATGAAAACAGGGTAACTGTGCCATTCACCATTGGGACAGCGACAACACCGTGCATGATAGTAAAACAGGCTGCTGAGTGCCTAGTAGGTGACAGGTCAAATATGAAAACTTAAGGCTCAGAGAGGTTAAGTAGTTGGCCCAAGATCACACAGTCAGTGAGGGGTTGAGCCAAGACTCCCCTTCGGTCTCTCCGAATCCGTCACGGTGAAAAGAATGAGGCTCGGCGCGAAAGTACTCGAGTCCGTGTCCCAGCTCCACCGTGTAAAAACTGCATGGCAGTGGCAAGTTGCTTTTTTATTTTCCTTTTTTTTAGAAATATTTGCTATACATCACTTTATAAATTTAAGGTCTAAGTTTAAGCATCATGATTTGATTTACATATACTGTGAAATGATTACCACAGTAGGGTTAGTTAACATCCATCATCACAGAAATACAATAAAGAGAAAAGAAACAGTTTTCTCCTTGCGATGAGAAATTTTAGGATCTACTCCTGTAACAACTTTCTTTTTTTATGTTCGTTTTCCAGATTGTTTATTTGAAAAAAAAAAAAAATTCTCAGATGATGGCGGTTATGATTTTTTAAATTTCTTTCTCTTTTTTTTTTTTTTAAACAATTTTTTATTTATTTATTTTTTTTATCCTCACCCGAGGACATTTTTCCATCTTTTGCACAGACAGAGTAGGAGGGAGAGAGAGGAAGAGAGAGAAACATCGACGTGAAAGGGACACATCGAGTGGCCGCCACCCGCACGACCAACCAGGGCCGGGGACAAACTGCAACCGAGGTACATGCCCTTAGCGGGAATTGAACCTGGGTCTCTCCGGACCGCAGGCCAATGCTCTAACCGCTGAGCCAAACCGGCCAGGGCTCTTGCTCTTTTTTTAATTCAAATTTTTATTTATTTTTATTACAAGTGACATTCAATAACAGGTTGGTTTCAGGTATGCAACGTAGTGATGTGGGCAAGTTAATTAATACCGGGTTATGTCTCGGCTTTCTCAGCCGTAAAACAGGAGTGACGATCCCTATCCCTGGGTTGTTGCAGGATTTGAAGGGATGACAGGAGGAGATGCACAAAGGGCACTGAGAAAGCTCAGAAGCGCTTATTATTGTGGTTTCAGGGGACGTGTTGGGCTTCTCTGTCATCGGTGGCTGTGTTACTAGTAAAATTTGAAGGTTTCTCTAATGTTAGGCTCATCTGGCTCTCACCCTCTTCTTCACGCGTCTCACGCACCTGCCTAGCTGGCTCCCTGGTCTCCCTGTGCTCCCGCGGTCCTGCCACCTGGCTTCCCTCCCCTTGTTAAGGCCCAAATCAGGTGGTGCCTCCTCCTCCAGAGGGCGTTCTCTGACATTCCCAAACGAGGACTTTCACAGCACTTTGTTTTTCTCATGATACTTGACGGCTGCGCAGGCCATGCCTTCATTCTATAGCTGTTTCCCGAGCACTCTTTGCATGCCTGGTCCTGTCCCAGTCCCTGGGTCCCTCCCTCGTGGAACGTCGGTGCTCATTAGGGGAGTTGGGAGAGACACACACACACACACCACCACCACCACCAACACCAACAACAACAACAACAACAAAAGAGGAAAAATACCAGAGAGTGATAAGTGCTGTGCAAATGGTTAAGGTGGAGTGACTGAGGTGACTAGGAATCCGAAGCCTCCTGGGGTCAGAAGTGGGAAACCTGTTCCAGCTGGGTGATGTGGGGCCCTAGGGCTGCAATCTCTCCAGCACTCGAAGTTCCAATTCCCTGTGTTCACGTTTAAGCTCCCTTACCAGCTAGCCGTGTGAGTCTTTCAAAGTCAACCTACTTATCTCATCTGCAAAATTAAGATAAACATTCAATGAATTGCCTAGTTCTCAAGGATCACTTGAGATAATGAACATAAAAGCATTTTGCAAACTCTAAAGTACTAGAAAAATGTTAGTTAAAATTTAAAATGTGTATAGCTTGCATTATAATTACTAGCCTCTAAACTACAGTAGGATCGATTATTTATTTTTCTTTTTATCTGCCACAATACCGAACTTAGGTCCTGTGTTCTAGAGAGTACAAGGTTGAACAGTGCTGCCCAATAAAAGCTTACAATATGTATGAAAGAGCCTGGCTGGTGTGGCTCAGGGGATTGAGCATCCCCCCATGGACTGGGAGGTCCCGGTTCGATTCCCAGTCAGGGCACACGCCCGGATTTCAGGCTTGATCCCCAGTGGAGTGCATGCGGGAGGCAGCCGATTGATGTTTCTCTCTAACATCGATGGTTCTATCTCTCTCTCTCCCTTCCTCTCTCTCTAAAAAATCAATAAAACAGATATTTTTTAAAAATGTATGAAAGAGTCTGTGATTGGTGCCGGCAGTGTTATCGTCAGACACTTGCCGTCATTACTGTCTAGCAGTGATGCTTCAAACACTCTGGGAAAAAATCCAAAACCTAATCTTTCTTTTTACCAAATCCATTGAAATGAAGACTAAAGCATTTTTTCAAGGTTAAAGTCATAAAAATATTTATACCTTTTGGCCTAATAATTCCATTCTCACACAGTTTTTTATCTTTTAATCAATTTCAACATATATACAGAAATCCTAAGCACGAACATGAGTTTTCACAGAGTGAACACACATGTAATTAGCCCCACTCCTGGAAATGAGACCAGAAAATACTCCCTGAAACACAAAAGCTGGGTTTCTGAGGGCAGATCCAGGGACAGATCTCACTGTCTGGTGGAGAAACGGCGAGGTCAGTGTTCACACACATCGTGAGCTGTGTACCAAACCTCGACAGTCAAGCACCCTTGAGTGCGGGTGGAGGAGCCGGAGAAGCAGCCTCCGGGAGACGAGGAGGACGCAGGGAGGGGAGCGAAGGGCCCCGAAGCCCCCGGAGTGCGGAGCGCGGGCCCTGCCTGGGGACCTTACATGGACATGTTCAAGAATAATAATAAACCAGAAGGAAAGAAACATGGTGCTGGTCAAACAAGATATGTTATGGGCCAAGTTCTGCCCATAGGCCTTTAGTTTGCGCCCGAGCTGGCTGGAGCCAGAGGAAAACAGGCACAATAAAGCACTAGGCGGGCAATCTGGCTGTCACAGGGCACAGCCTCCGGCTACACGTGGACAAGGACTGGGACCAGACAGACACTGAACTGGCCATGCTGGGAGCTTGGCCGCAGTACCCCTCTAAGCCTCCGTTTCTTCTTCTATAAAACAGGAATGAAAAAAATAAACAAAAACCACCAGCCCTCATAGAGCTGTTGCAAAGGTTAAGTGCACAGAAAAGTGCCTGTAGTTAATAGAACAATGTTTCCTTCTCGCTAGTTTACTCTCATTAGTATTATTTCTCTGATTCCATATCCCACCATCCTGCTCCCCTGTTTCCTGACTCCAGCCCCCCCAGCTTTCTCAGTGTTTCTCTGACACCGTTTAGCCTCAGGCCCCAGTTCTCCCCTTTCCGTAGTACTGGCCTCACCTCACCTGGGTCCCTGCCCAGCTGACACCTCCTCCGAGGGGCTCGCCCTGCCCCTCACCCTGCTCCATCCCTCACCCTGCTTCATCCTGCAGTGGCCTTAGCACTGCCTGCCATTTCCGTATGGATGTCTCCCACGTGTCCGTTCAGTCTCCGCCGGGAAGATGAGCTCCGCGAAGGCAGGCGTGGCCTCACCCGTGGAGTGCTGCATTCCCGCGCCTGGGAGCTCCCCACGCAGCAAACACGCAGGAAGTGCTTGTTGGATACTGCGGAGCTGCACGCTGGAGCCCTCATATGTTCTTTCCCCCCTTTTCTAAATCCCAGGGCCGCGATGCGATTTGTGCGATTAATCATTTAAAAACCTGTCTTGCAGGCCATCTCAGTGAGTAACTTCTCTTCATCTTCCCTCCGTTGCCTGGCAGCTCAGCCCTGCAGAAACTGGGAGCAGAGGTATTTGAGGAGGTCTATCACTACCTCAAGAGAGCAAGGCGGCAGAACGCCAGCGATGCGGAGGTCAGGGCGTCTCTGGAAAAAGTGGTGCCTCGTGCCAGTGACTGCTTCGAAGTGGACCAGCTCCTCTACTTCGAGGAGCAGCTGCCGATCACCTGGGAGAAGGGCCCGCACGGCACAACCACCGCAAACGATTGTCAAAAGCAACTTCAAGGGGCACATTGCTGTGAAAATCTATTCAACACCTAAGTTGGACTCTATTGTGGGAGATGGGTACAGAGCTGGACCTACCATCTTTACTTTTAATTCCTTAGCAAAAAGGGAATGAGTAGCAGAATCACAGGTCTGCCTATACTATGAGTCATGGGCCAGCCAGTATTAGTGTTGTTAGGGCTATACTCTGAGCTGCATTCCCAGGAGTGTGCCCTCGAGGCACCCCTGGGGCCAGCCACCGAGGATGCCTGGGAGGAGCCCTGTGCTCTGCATCACCTCCATTCGGAGGACGGACTCGGGGCCTCTGGCTGCGTCTATGGACTCTGGCCAGCCTGCCCTTGGAGGTTGTTGGACACTGGCTTCGGACACACTGAGCTGCTGTCCAGGAGTCAGACACACCTGTCACAGGTGACCTGTTTTTGGTACACTTTTGTCCTTCCATAGCTAATGAGAAGACGTGCACATGTATAAGGACCTGACTAAAAAATCCAAAATGTGATTCTCTCCTGTGATTTATTCCCCCAGATTCATCCATGGACCATTGAAGACTCTTATTCTTAATAGAATTTCTATTAAAATAAAATGAATCACCTATTTTAGCTTTTCTTTATTTAGAAGTATTTTGTTGAATGTAACACAGCCATCTAATAATAATGATTACTTAGAGCAGGTAACATTACTATATAATAGGATATAGTAAGCCAAGCTCTGTACTTACTACTATAAGGACCTATTAGATCTTATCACCAAGGGGAGGGAGGAGGGAGAGAGAGAGAGAGAGATATTACTCATTTTACAACTAAGAATGCTCGAGTTAGGTAACCTGCTTAGTCACACAGCTTCAAGGAGCTGAGCTGGGACTGCACCCCAGGCCTGTCTGATTCCAGGACCCAGGCTCTTAACTACTGTGCATGTAGGTTTTCAACTGAGGACATACACACACTTAAAGATACTGTTCAGGGAACAATACCGTGTGTTTAAGAACGTGTTTTGGGGAGGAAAGACTTCCTCAGTCCTCTTAGGTTCTGTGGCTGGGCCTACAAATTAAACTGACAAAAGACAGATTAGCAGGGATAAGCATGCAGATTTTATTTAATATTATTAATATTTCATGTGGCATAGGGGTCTTTCTAGAAATAAGTAAAAACCCCAAGGAAACAGTTAAGCCTGAGAGCTTATATACCATTTTGACAAAAGAGCAATAAATATGTGGAGAAGTAACAAAAGAAAAGGGATTCGAACTCCTAAGTGGGTTAAACTGTGGGAAAGTGACAAGGACATATAGGGGGGAGGTTAATGGGAGCTAGGGTTATTTTAGTAGGTTTGTTTGTACAGATCCATCTTGGTGTTGACACCCTGTCTCCAGTGATGAGAATGTTCTCCTCTTCCTGGTGCAGGGAGGATACTTTTCTCATGGGAAATTTGTGATTTTAGGTAGAAAGGGGGAAGACAGAGAGCTCTTCCAACATCTGCTTTTCTTGTTTGCTTTCAGCTCAAAATCATCCTTCTGCCAGTGTGGCATATTTTGGGTGGCATTTTCTGACCTCTGCGATGTCTGGGACGACAGGTGCAGATGGAAAACAGCTGGTCCTCCCGGGATTTGTGCTGCGCATCATCACGTGAGGCTTAAGAGAAAGGGAGCCGAGAAGCCTCCCACGTTGGCTCACCGCTCCATGCCTTAAAAAAGAAGCGCATGTTTACCTTTCTTCTGGTTCGCTGGGAGCAGCAGCGCCTGGGTTAAAATCACTACAAGAAGATGCATTTTTAACATTAACTTCAGGAAAATGCTTTCTCTCTCAGCTCTACTGAGTGGTAATGTCGGCTCCTATGTGGACTGAAATAATTCTATCGGTATCCCATCTACCCCTGGTGATTTATTTCTTCCCAATATGTTCAGGGCAGCTTTCACTGTGCTTCTAGAACGACAAGTTCCTCCTCACAGGGCTCTCCTTCGCCGTCCTCGCGTCTCTTCTGCACAGATGTTGAGCAGACGTCCCGCCTTCCCTGCACTTCCTCCTGGTCCAATGATGTGCTTTCTGGGTGGTGGTTCAGCCTTCCTCGCCTAGGTTCGAATTTCCCTTTTATTTCTCCAATCTTTTGGTGGAGATCTTTGGTCTTTCCTTTTTGCTGTTCTCGTCTATCTCCTTACATTGAATTAGGAAATTCACTGGTTACGTAGAATTAGGGAAGATCATCAAGAACAGACTGGGGACCAAGCTAAGGTCATTCCACACCCTCTATTCCCAGTGACTATACATGGATGCCGTGAGGAAGGCGGACAGGAAAACGTTGGTTTACTTGAAATATGGTGTTGGAGGAGAGCTCTATGGATGCCCTAGACCGCCAGGAAGACGAAGGCGCAGGCGGGTCCCAGGGCACCGTAGGCCTGAAACATCGCTGGAGGTAAAAATGACAAGACCAAGGCGGTTCTATTTCAGGCACACTGGGAGAAGGCAGGGGTCTTTGGAAAAAATGACAACGCTGAGAAAAATAGAAAACAGCAAGAAGAGGAAGACAAAATATGAGATGGATCGACTCCATAAAGGGAGCCATAGACTTGAGTCTACAGGAGCTGAGCGGGGCTATTGAGGACAGGACAGGGTGGACGTCACTCATTCATAGGGTCGCCAGGAGTCAGAGCCAACTCAGCAGCATGTAACACACACCAGTGTGGGTATCAATTACTAACCAAGTGCAAGACAGTGAGTGGAAATCGATGGAGGAACTGGGGAACTAGGAAGGCGCTTGCTACGAGATAGTCACAAGTATGAGGGAATGAAGGGACTTGCTGTTCTCTTGCTGTTTTATAAAACATAGATATATTTCACAGATGCCCATTGAACTTTCTGCTTTCTATTTGTGCAGAGGAAATGCCACCAGCTATTTTGGGTGACGCAGAGATAAGACACACAAAAGAGAGTGATGGAAGTTTAATTATTTAATGTATTTGGACTGAGGCTGGAGCAGCAGCTCAGAGTGAGCCACACAGTGGGCCCAGGATAAAGGAGGCTGATAAATTAAACAGTAGCTCAAGGGGAAAACATGCCCCACTCCTCTTTCAGGATGGTGGGCTTGCTAACTAATGTGTCAGAAGAGAATGGGGCCAGGAGCAAAAATGAAAAATAAGGCAAAGAGGGGTGTGTGTGTGTGTGTGTGTGTGTGTCCAGTGTGAGAGGAAGGGATGGTGGCCCGATGATCTCACTCTGGTTTTCCTGCTGTTTGGTTCCACTCCCTGCATCAGGAGTGGCCGTGTAACCAATAGAATGCCACAGACGTGTGATTTCTGAGACTCAGTCTAAAAGATAAAGATTCTATCTCATTTTCTCTTGGATCATTCACTCCGAAGGAAGCTGGCCACAAGGTCATGAGGACACTTAAGCGACCCTATGAAAAGATCTGTGTGGTATGGAACGGGGACTTTTGCCAACAGCCAGCACCAACTTCCAGCCACGCCAGTGAGCCACCTGGAAGCAAATTCTCCAGCCTTAGAAAAGTCTTCATTTGACGGCAGCCCTGGATGACATCTGGACAAAACCTCATAGGAAACCCTGAGCCAAAACCATCCGGCTACATCATTTCTTAACTTCTGACCCACAGACAGAGTAAAGTAATGTATTTATTGTTAAGTCACTACATTTTCCAGTGTGTCTCAGCAATAGATCAGTGATACAGAAGGCAAAGCTCAGAGCCCAGTTGTTGAGTTTGCTCTGCTGTATCCTATAGAGAAGGGCAGCCCCTGAAGTATGGACAAATCGTGGCTTTCAGCTGGGTAGAAGAACTGTGCGGAGCTCGGGGGGAGACTGTAGGCAGGACAGGGAGGCCACTGGGCGGTGCAGTCCAGGAGAGAAAGATGAAGACCTGACCATCTAATGAAGTCGGGGCATTGAGAGAGGAGACTGTGGGAGGGAACTGAGAGAAGGGACCACGGACCGGGTTGGGGTGAAGGAGCGTCGGTGAGCACTGCTCGGTCCCAGCATGGGTGACTGGTGACTGGGCAGGTGGCGGGCCATGCACAGAGCTGGGGAAACAGGAGGTGTCCATAGGGAATGGAGGTGGGGGCTGGAGGAAGACTGTGTTCATTCCTGGGTGTGTTGGACTTGAGGTACTTGTAGGGTAAGAGGTCCAGGCATGAGGCTGGGGTGTCTGAGAAGTTCTGTCCTTAGAGTGAAACAGACCCACCTAATGAGCTCCAGACCACACAGCAGAAGACACTCTTGATGCTGGGCCTGCAAACAACCAGAAACAGGCTGGCTTCCACAGAAGGCCCCCACTTTAAGGCTGCCGATGGTGACTTCAGGGATGTGAATGGCTAAAAAGTAATAAGCATCTAGCCCTTTCAGTAAGTCCTTTTGGATAAACCCCAACTGGCTCTAGCTGGCTCTCTTAGCTGGTGGCACCCCCACCCCTTCAAAATCAGTGGTTTGCAACTTTGGCTTTGTGTTTGAAAGACCTGGAAAGTTTTAGGAGGATTAAGTGGAATGATTGTAAATTGCCTGGCAGCCTTGGCCAGTTTGGCTCAGCGGTTAGAGCGTCGGCCTATGGACCAGAGAGTCCCAGGTTTGGTTCCCACTCAGGGCACGAACCTCGGCTGCAGTTTGTCCCTGGCCCCGGTTGGGGTCCTGTGGGTGGCAACCAGTCAATGTGTCTCACATGGATGTTTCTCTCTCTCTTCCTCCCTCTCTCCCTCTGGCTCTATCTGAAGATAAATGCAAAAGTGTACTCAGGTGAGGATAAATAAATAAATAAATAAATAAATAAATAAATAAATAAATTTCCTGGCAGATGGTAGACAATGGTCAGTCTTCTTTCTGCCCAAATGTGAGACTAGACCCTAACCTCTCCCTTTCCTGGACCAAAAGGGACTATGCCTGTAAAAAGGGTTTCGTGAAATGCAAAGCACTATTCAAATGTAAATTATAACCTTTACCTTTAACTTCATGAGAAAGAAGATCTTTTTATTTTTAACATTTTACTATAGAAAACATCAAACTATATGAAAGTAAAGAGAATAATATAATAAGGCCTTGTTATGGAACCACCATTCAGCTTCAAAAATTATGAATTCATGGCAACCTTATTTTATTTATGCTCTCACCCACTCCCCCACTGCATTATTTTTATATCACTCATAAATATTTCATAATGTAGCTCCAAAAGATAATCTTTTTCTTTTGTTGAATCATACGATTTTTATTCTTCCGTGTGCTTAAAACTTAAACCATGAAACTCAATGATAAAGGTATTTAAACCATAATATCAAGATCTTAAGGTAGCAAGAACATCTTTATTTTTTATTATTTATTTATTCTAAAGAATCTGTTTTTTAGGCCACAG